TCGTTCGTAAGTGAAATTGACAATTTAATTCTGTTCAAAAGGGTGCTAGCGTACTATAGAGACGACCTCATAATCTTAGCTCAGACAAACACAGGATGCAAAACAGTTCAATATATCGAATAGAAAAAGGCACAATAAGGTACAATTAGTAAAAATCCACAGGTGAATGAAGAGCTACAAAAATGGCGGCCCAAATTCAAAAGCCCGCCCCAGTCTACTGAAGATGTTAAAATTGAATGCAACTTCGTGTGTTGCCACAAATTTTCTTAAGAACAGACTTAAAAAGCTATGGAGGCAGCTTAAAGATCCATCCATAAGCACATTATCGGTTTAACTAAGGATCGCTGAAATATTTAAATTAGCCTCAAAAATGAGGCACGCGTGTAATAAGCGTAAAGAGTCTTTAACTATTAGTGATGCAAATGTTCCTAGATCACTTGCTCAGCTCTTCCTTCAAAGATCACCGAGTCCTTCGGCATTTCCTAAATTTCGACGATACCTTCATTACAGAGGAGTCAGGAAAGACAGACATGTTAAATTCATTCTTTGCCAAACATTTTACCATTGAGACTGACGCATTCCCCTCGATTCCTCCGTTGTCTGATGCCTGCCTCACCACCATTAATTTTTCTCCTGAAAATATTCAGAAGCTAAATAGCCAGCTTACTTAATCTCAATCAGTAAGATCTGACAACATCTGAACTATCTTATAAAACATCTAAGAGATTTTCCTCCTCTGCATAACAAACTTTTTTCACTCTCTTCCCAAAATAATTTCTTTCCCGACTTTTAGAAGACGTCTATTTCTATTGCAGCATTTAAATCTGGCTGTCGTTCTGATGTTCAAAACTACCGAGGTGTCCATTAAGCACTTTCTCGCCCTACAATCTTTGCAAAAAAATCGTTGCCATGAATATAACTGACTTTCTTATTGTCAACTTAGTTAGTGGCCCTTCCTAACCTGGCTTCTTGCCCGATCGATCTTGTGAAACACGTCATATGTCGTTTACCTATCTTCTCACCCCTCTTCGTAATGATCCTTTATCTGTTTTCGTTATTTATTTTGATCTAAATGCAGCCTTTGGTAAAGTGCCACATAGACGACTCTTAGTTTAATAAGAAGCTCTGGGATGTTGCAGTTCCTTTATTGACTTTATCAAGTCGTACCCATCTAATCGTAATCAAAAGGTCTAAGTGAGATCTTCATTTTCCGATGAGAGCCCTATTGAAAGTGGTGTTATACAGGATACCGTTTTAGGTCCATTTTTGTTTCTGCTTTACATTTATGATATCTCACCGGCAGTTAAAGATTTGCATCCTTTATTTATGCTGATGACCTCAAATGTGTATATTTATTCAGTAGATCTACGAGGCTTCATTGCCTAGAGCAAATCCATGCTGAATTGCTTCCTCTTGCAGCATGGAGTTCAAAATGCCTAATGGAATTCTCTCCGTCTAATTGTAGTTCTATGTGTTTTTGACCTGATAGGCTACCCCAAAATGTGGTCTTTCAAGTCACATCTACGAATGAATGTACCACCGTCGAGGATTTTTGTTCAACTAAACCAATAATCCAGATCTGTCACACTACACCGACGAAATTACCGTCAACGCTGTCCAGATTTGTGGCTTTATTTCTTGCGATTTTTATCTTCCCAAAAGTAAATTTATAAGGACGGCCCAGAGCATGACACGTCGTTCCTCTCATCCGGCAGCCATGCCTGACAAAGGACCAAAAAACACCAGATCGGTCTCGCCAAGCAAGCAAGCCAGCGGTCGAGCCAGCAATTAGCACGCCGCAAACTTACGCGCGTCCTTCCCGGGTCAATGAAACGTGAGTGTCTGCCCATGAGGGCGCCGAGACTGGACCAGAAGGGACACACAAAGCAGACAAGGGCAGAACCCGTAAATACGATCGATATGTGCTTCAAGAAATACGAATTATTTTCGAGAAAGAAGGGCCGGGTAATTCGAGGAGATTTTAATTTGTCAGAAATGACTGGCACATGAGTACTTCCTCCTCTAGATTCCAGAACATTCCAGGCACTTTTCATTTTTCGAACCTGTCTCAAGTAGTCCACTCTTCGAACAGAAACGATAGTATATAAGATTCAACTTATGCTAATGGCATCCTCCATCGTGACATTTTTAAGACTGGTCATTCATTAATTCATTGTCGTCCTCCAGTTGCCATATTCGCAAAGCCAACAGTAAAACGCAGCTCTTATGCTTTGATAATAGTAGCAAGAAATTTTTTAATAATTTCAAAAGTACCCTTGATTCTCACAAGCTTTTTTAAACTATGGTTTATATTTTTCCTCCGTTTGATAACTAAACATAACAGAATATATTCTCCACCCTGTCTACTGAAGACGTTGAAATCGAATGCCACTTACTTTAGTGTCCCAGATTTTCTTAAAAATAGACCTAAAAAGCTACGAAGGCAGTTTAAAGACACAGTCATAAGCTCATTATCGATTTACCTAAGGATCGCTGAAATATTTGAATTACCCTCAAAAATGAGGCTCGCGTAAGATGATCGTAGAGAGTATTTAGCTATTAGTGGTGCGAATGCTCCAAGATCAGTTGCTCAGCTCTTCCTTCAAAATTCATCAGCTGAGTCCCACCAAGTCATTCGGCATTTGCTAAATTTCAACGATATCTTCATTACAGAGGGGTCAGGAAAGGCAGGAATGTTAAATTCAATCTGTGCCATAAATTTTTTCATTGAGACTAACGCGATCCCTTCGATTCCTACGTTATCTGATGCCTGTCTCACCACCATTAATTTTGCCTCTGCAAATATTCAGCATCTGATAAGTCAGCTTACTAAATCTCCCTCGGAAAGAACTGACAACATCCCGAACTCTCCTAGAAAAAAGCTAGGAGATTTTCCTCCTCTGCTTAGCATACTCTTGTCATTCTTTCCCCAAAATAATTTTTTTCTTGACTATTAGATAACGTCTATTACTATTTCAGTATTTAAATCTGGTTGTCCCTCTGATATTCGCAACAATCAAGGTGTCCATAAAACACCTTCTCTTACCACAATCTTTGAAAAGCATGTTGCCATGAAAATTACTGACTTTAGTATACCCAATCATATTATTAGACCTTCCCAACATGGCATCCTATGCGATCGGTCTTGTGAAACGCGTCACATGTCGTTTATCAATCGTCTTACCTCTTATCGTAATGATCATTTATGTGTTGTCGTTATTTATTTTGTCCTTTATAAAGCCTTCAATAAAGTGACACATAGAAGACTCTTAGTTAACTCAGAAGCTCTGAGATATTGCAGTCCCTTTTTTGACTTCTGCAAATCATACCTATGTAATCGCAAGCAAAAGGTCTTAGTGAGATCTTCATTTTCAAAGTGGTGTCATACAAGATACCGTTTTAGGTCCTTTTTTGTTTCTGCCTTGCATTAATGATATCTCGTCGGCAGTTAAACATTCTCAATCCTTTATTTATGCTGATAATCTCAAATGTATATATTATTTCAATAGATCTATGAGCCTTCATTGCCTAGAGCAAATCCATGGTGAGTTGCTTCCTCTTGCAGCATGGAGTTCAAAATGTCTAACGAAATTCTCTCCGTCTAAATGTCGCTATATCGGTTTTGGACCTGATATTCTACCCTAACCAGTGGTCTTTCAATTCACACCTATGACTGAATGTACCACTATCAAGTATTTATGTTTAAGGTACGCAAAGTAGACAAGGACAGAACCCTTAACTACGATCGATATGTGCCTCAGGAAATATGAGATATTGCTCTAGGAAGAGCGGAAAAGTTTTGCTGACGGAGAAGTGGTGGAAATTCTTCTGTTGCAACTTGGACGAATGGAACACGAGAAGTATGTAAAATTCGTCCTACCGAAAAAAACCGACCGAACTGGAATTCACGGAGACGGCCAGAATCCTGAAAATCTTGTTTATCTATTGAAAGTCCTTGTTTGACAGACGTTTTGAATGTGTTAAAGTGGAGAAGAGGGTAGATAAAGATTATTTTGATTCGGTAGGCAGACTAAGTGACATATGCCAACAATCTGATCTAGAACAAGCAACGACAAACCAGGTTAAGGCCCCTCTTACTCTACCGGAGGACGCGGTCATACGCAGGTGGCTGCTGTCTAAAATGAATCAAGATGGTGTTATGACCGTGCAAAAGTAAGTAGATAAATGTTTTAAACTCAGGAACATTAAACAGGATACAAAGTTGATTTGCAAAACAAACAGTCAACAGGTATAGGTGTTTTAGATCAGGAAAAATCGGCCGTCACAGAGGGAAATATTTCCTGGAGGGCTAAAGGCGGCCTGTTGGTAGTGCGGTGGATGGTACTATGCCGCTGACTGCCCCCCCCCCCCTAAAATGCAGAAATGTTTCAAATGTTGGGGTATGCGCCACAAATCGGCATGCTGCATAGCGGTAGGGCCGAGTCTTAGGAAACAGTGCAACGACGTTTCTGATAGTGAGACGCGGGTTCTAGGCTGTGAACACCGAAATTTACTATTTGTGATCATAACTGAGAAAGCCGTCAGACCTCAAGTGGTCAGGACGTCTGATCTGACGATTATGAGGGTAGGAACGTGGCAGATGATAGGAACACCTAGACATATCCCAACTCACATCATTGAATGTTGAGCTCAGGGGCGAAAGCCTCATTCGCTTAATAAACTGACTTATCTCTTGTCGGCACCGAGGCGGAGGGCATTTGCAGGGGATTGCCCGTTCCGTCAGCATCGCTGTCAAAGCTGTATCCAACTGCGACCCCGAGATGGGTTCTGCAAATTAATGGCAACATATGGAAACAAGCTTTGCTACACCAGTTCTAATACCAAGAGCCGTTTTTTTGGCTAAAACGCAAGTCGTAACCGCAGTCTGTTGGAAATCCTCTCAGCCTATTGCCCAATACCCAGCCCAGTGGGCCAGTTATATAAATATTGTTAATGTTCTACTCAATGACCAAGCAGTCCGACCACAGTTGGGCACTGTCTCAGGCATCATCATCATCATCATCATCATCATCATCATCATCATCATCATCATCATCATCATCATCATCATCATCTTCTTCTTCTTCTTCTTCTTCTTCTTCTTCCTCTTTGCCCATACATTTTATCTGAAAATATGTCGAAAATATTGGCCAGCTGTTTCTTTTTTTTCGGCGAATGCTGCTATGTGGACACCAACAGTGTCCCCCTATACCTACATCGGGCTGCCGAGGTTATATTGAAAAAAATGAGAGTATTACCATAGACTATTGATTAACCCAGTTCAGGTAAACAAACGTCACCGGTAAATCAGCCGCTGCATTTCTCATTCTTCTTCTTCCTCCTCGACAGTCCCATCAACATCCCCTGCGTCATCGTGGTCATCAAGTCGAACGTCATCGTCGCAATCACTCGCACAGATGTCTTTGAAGGCGATGCAGATTCCGCGAATCAGTATTTTCATAATAACTTGAAAAGCCTCACAAAATGATTCCGATTTTTGTGGGCAATCCAGAAATACTTTTTAGGATAACTGTCGCGCTTTATTCATGGGTCAACAATTCTCATAACGGCGGTTGATCCTGATTAAACCTCTCTTGCCAATCAACTTTAAAACCCACATCCAGTCGTTTCTCGAATAGTCTCCTTGATGACGCTTATTTTGGCTAAAGATATTGGTTTCCACTTACGTCGACATCATATGCATACTGAGAGCACAGGTGTGCGTGTTACAAAACTGTGAAAATTCCTCATTTGATGGTGAGCTGCGATGCGTGGTCAATACGCAATAAAATGCAGTCTTTTGAGCAAGTTCAACAGTAAAGTTTGCATATTTCCGGCCCACGCCACGCACGCATGCAAGGCGACAACGGCGACGATGCATATGTCCGCCGTTTGGTTCCGGACTGTTATCCTGTTCGAGAAGTTGTCTATAACGAAAAGGGAGCTGAATGATGCTGACGACGTAGTATGGCGCATTTGGGCTTACTACTTAAATACCCGGTTAGCCAGTGCAAAGCAGCTCGCGCGACCAATACGTCTTAAGACCAGGACACACAGTAAGTACCTGTGAGAATTTCAGACTTGGCAAATTTTTGTGCATTTCAAGGCAACAATGTTGATGAACCCAATGTCAGTAAGCGACAGGGCGTATTTAGTCTTACGATAAACACGCCTGTGCGCCGACAAAACTCTAATCAGTGGCGAACGTGTTTTCTAGTGTTAGTCTTTGATTTATGTCAGATTCCGACCAAGACCTCTTAACATACTGGAGCAAATTAGACAATCATTATAAGGCTTAGATCTGTCAGTGTAACGTAGACGGAATTTATTAAGGCAGTTCAGTCTTTCCATGTAAGATTGGATCTTTAAACCCATTATCAGCATTGTTGTCCGGCCTTGTACTCTCTCAAGGCATGTTTGGTCCTTTTCTGGCCATGGCTAACACGCTTTTACGCCATGTTATAGATAGGGATGAACAAACGTGCCGTAAACTCTCCCAAGACTCCTATTTCTCAAAGGTTACAAACGCCCGTCTGATCGCATAGAGTATTCCCATGACCATGCTTGTACTGTAGTGCTGACTTCATGCTGCTCTGGGTCCATACATTGAGAGCGTTCTGCGAAGATTCGGCGGGAAGAGTACTGTCCTCCAGGAGAGATGCCCTCATGCTGTGATTTGAATGGCAGTTGATTGGACGCAGATGAAAGACGGCACACTTCTGCACACTGAAATACAGAAGCCATTTCTCGGACTACATTTGCAGTCGGCGAGGATTATTTTGAAGGGTCTTCTGGTCATTCGGGTCCTTAAGGACTTTCCAGAGGTAAACGGCGTCAGCAAAGATTGCCTCACTGCAGTTGAGTTCTTGAAAGCTGTCATTGACATAAAGAATAAAGAGTAAGCGTCCGAGAACTGAGCCTTGAGGGAGCATACGTTCACCAGGTCTGAGATATCATCTCCGATACGGACACGCTGTTTTGCGTCCAACCAGAATCTCGCTTATCCAGTCAACAACGTCTCTTATGCCGGCAGCTGCCGTTTCACGCCTTACGGGGTTGTCGTTGACCACAGACTGTAGGCAACCGGCTTACACCAAGACATGAGGCCGATGGGCCGCCTTTGGTGAGGAAAATAACTGCGTTCTAATCAAATGTCCGTGATCCTATGCATAATGCGGATTTGGGAAAGTTATCTGATTATGTCTGTTTATCCTCAAAGGGTGACCGCGATTTAACCATTGCTCTCACCTTGAAATTTATTCTCTAAAGACTTTTGCATAAAATGTTTAGGAAAGGTGCACGTTTGAATGATAGCTTATAAAAAAATGCATCGGGAAAGACATGCAATCATTTTTTTCACCCAAACACACTCGCCATTCTAGTATAGTCGTCAGTTTTAGACGCGTGTTCCCATCGAGCAAGTTCAAAGGGAACTTCAAATGACCACAATTGTTAAAAGACCCCACAACACTTTCCGATTTAACACCAGCTAAATTCCTCCAAAAAGAACGTTGTGACTGTTAAAAATTTTTAAGTATTGCTAGTATACATGGAGAAGTAGATATAAGGTTTGTTGAAGTGTTTTCGTCCCTTCAAGTTAAATGGATAAAAGCCAGGTAAAAGTTTAATTTTAAAATTAAGTTATTCTGTTGAGCAATGGTGGAGAAAATACACTTGGATATGGTCCTAAACGGTCATGCGCAATTACTAAATTGAAATACCTCGTGTCAGTTATTATCCAAGTAATTCATCCGATCTGGCACAAGGCTAAATCCATATCACATCATTTCGGCTGAGAAATTCTTAGAGGTCAAGCCAGTTTCAGATTTACCGAACAAATTCCAATGCTTTTCGTGACTCACTTGATCAAGTATCCGGCATCCTCATCGGACATCCCCATCGTTATATCAACAGAGCGCTTGCTTTAATTAGTGCCAAACATTATCTGCAAAGAATGCCTGGAGGTTAGTCACCGGGGTGATCGTATTCACGAATTACCATATATAGCAGTTTGGAATTGCTTATATGCTTAAAGTTCGAAGGGGCGCATCTGTCCCGTTTGTTCTTCTCTACGGGGTATTACTGGAACGTTTGGTTGCCAAGAGTGAAAGAGCTAATGGAACCGAGAGGCAAAACCACAACACACAGTAAGTACCTCTGTGATTCGTCAGTATGTCATTGCGATTGGGTCTTCGAGGCATGTCGATGCAGCACTGAGGATGATGCAGTTCCACAGTAGGTGCGTTAACTCAGTCGAAGGAAACAATAATTTGTGGTCAACAGGTTAACTTCCATGCACAATGTCGATTTCAGAGCCTGCATTTACAGAAGTATAGCAAGGCAAATTGAATTAAATCTGGTTGACGTTTGGTGATCCGCTCTTCCGCTCTGGAAAGTACAAAGACTAGCGGTTCGAGAACTGAGCCTTGGAGGAGCATCAGTAGTCGCGATCACCAGATTTGACGTATGATCTCCGATACGGACAGGCTGTTTTGCGATCAACCAGAAGCGCGCTTATCCAGACAAGAAGGCCACGTATGCCGGCAGCCGCCTTCTCACACCTTACAGTGTGGGAGGGTTTTACGAAAGGTTATAGGCAACAAACTTACACCAGGAAATGATGCCGATGGCGTCGCCTCTGGTGAGGAAAACAACTGAGTTCTGATCAAACGTCAGTGGTCAAATGTATAATGCGTATGTGGAGAAAGTTACCATAAAATATCTGGATTCGCCCAAAAGGTTAACCGCAGATTTCACTACTGCTTTCTTTTGAAATTTATATTCCTAAAACCTTTGCATGAAATGTTTAAAAAACGGACACTTATGAATGCTCGCTTATAATTTAATGCATCGAAAACAACAAAAAATCATTTAAAACCCGAGCGCACTCGTCATTCTAGTTTAGCCGCCAGTCTCGGTCGCGTGTTCCACTCGAGTAAATTCTAAGAGAATCCCGAATGAACACATCTGTTAAACGACCCCACACGATTTTACGTTTTAACACCAACTAAATTCCTCCAAATAGAATATGTTGACTGCTAAAATCTTTTAGTATTGCTAGTATTTATGGTGAATTGCATTTGGGTTTCTTGCTTAAATGTTTTCGACCATTCAAGTTGGATGGATGAAAGACAGGTAAAAGTTTAGTGTCTAAAGTAAGCTATTCCGTTGAGCGATGATGGGGAAAAATATACTTGAATTTGGTCCTTAACGGCCATGCGTGATCCCTAAATTGAAATAGCTCATTTCAGATATCATATCACCTCATTTCGGCTAAGATCGTTTTAGAGGTCAAGCCAGTTGTAGATTAATCGACCAAATTCTAGCGTTATTTGTGAACTTCTTGATCCATTATCCGGTATCCTCATCGGACCTCCCAAACGTTATAGCGGCAAGGTGGTTGCTTCAATTCATGTTAAACATTACCTGCAAGAGACGCCTGGAGATGAGTCACTAGGATGATCGAAGCCAGGAATTGTCAGTTTGCAATGACTAGCAGGATTAAAGTTCGAAGGAGGCTAACTGATATGATGCCGGTGGAGTAGCAGCAAAGGACTAGGACTATAAGGGGACTAAGTCAATTTCGAGAAAAAAACTAACAACATCACTGCACAGCGTCCTCCCCTCTATACAGGTATAGCTGATCTCAGCGAATTTCGTGTTCTTTGTTTGACCGAGGCCGTCCGGCAGTGTCCTTCAAATGAGGGGTACATCGTATTCGTTTTTGAAGCCTCGGGTGGAATTTCCACAATCCACACTGTTCTACGTCACCGCAACACACCAACTAAGCGTTTGGATACATGGGAATTGGAATGTAGTACAATTACTCAGAAGAACTGTGAATGGAATATAAACTTCATAAACCAGATAGCATGCAGTGCATTTATTGTGTGCTGGAGTAAGTTTGCTACCCGTTAAGGTGAAGCATCGTCAGCACATTCCACATTCGCGCCACGTGACCTTGTACGACGAAAACGTCCACGATCAATAATGGCCGCAGTTCGAATCGGTCTGGGAGGACGCATCCGGCACTAAATGGAGTTTGCTGGCGACAACGACGAGGTAGCTGGAGTTTGGGCATAATACTGGAACGTTTGGTTGTTAAGAGTGAAATAGGGGAGTATAAACTGCAGAAATCGGGATTGCACGCAGAACAATCAACATAGGCTGGTGTGAGTACACTAGCCGTTAAGGTGAAGCATACGAAGCAGGATCCCTCCTATGATAAAGAGGAGATTAGGGCCATGGTTAGGGTTAGTGCCCTCATGAACTCCGAGATTCCACATCGCTGGCACAGCTGCCATCGTCAGCACGATTCGCGTTCACACCACGTGACCTTGTAAGTGGAACACGGCAGCGATCAATGATGACGGCAGTTCGAATCAGTCCGGGGAGACGCATCCGGCACAAGATAGAATTTTGGTGCATAACATAAATGTTTTGTTTCCAAAATGGAGACGACTGACGGACTTGATTCATAAAACCAAGGTACACCGTAAGCACCTGTGCGATTCGCAAATATCACTATTACGGTTTTTATTTCATTCATAAAAATGTAGCCCTAAGCATGATGCAGTTCTATAGAAGGCTCGTTAACCGCGTCGAAAAAAACAATTATTTGTGGCCAGCAGGTCTTCTTGCATGCTTTATGTTAATTTCAGAGCCTGAATATATAGCAATATAGCAAAACGAATTAAATAAAAAACCGGTTGACGTTTGGTGATCCGCTGTTCCGCTCTAGATATCCTCATCCATGTAAAATTGGTTCAGAAGAGAGACACACATGTCGTGTGATCGGAAGAACCTGAGAATTGATCTACATTTATTTCATCAACGCTTTCCTCGTTCTTGTTAAATAGTAGATCAAGGCAACTAGATATCTGGCGTTCACTCAAGTGTGCGCTCACTGCCCGGATCGCAGAATAGGCCACATCGTAACAACGAGGGGACTAAATGCAGCACACACCGAATGCCCTTCCGGCTATCCGAGTTTGCCGTGTATTCTTTCCTATTCCAGCAGCAAGGGTTGTCACGGATGACTGAAATGAATTGCAGAAAACCTGGTGCTCCGTCCCAGAATTCTGCCTCCTAGATACAAAAGGTGACATTTGGACGTATACGCTGGCATCAAGAGGTGATATTCATTCGCCGTACTTGATGGGATACAATCATAGCCAATGGCTGACGTAAAACGGATATGCTATCTCATGAAATGTTGACTCAATTCTGAAATGTGTTTCCCGGCTCCTTCCCTCCACCTATCCTCCTAATGTCCTCTCGAAAGGTTAACTACCATCCTATAGCATTGTTCGCTCGTCTTGTTTAACTTACCCTGGTACTTTTCTCTCATTGCACACTCCCTCCCTTGCTCTCGTGCAACCCATCGACATTATTTCTGCTCTTTACTTTCCATCACACCGGACTTATTATGGGCTGCCTCCACCTACAAAGATCAATTTTTGCGAAGTTGATTTTGCTTATCTGATGTTTCGGATCCTCACTCGAAACTATCGTTCGAGACAGCAACAGAAGTGGTTGATGCCTGCGCAAGTTATGAACGTTTTGAATAACATAAGTCGTCTCTGTGATCGTGAATCCTTCTTCAAGACTACCTCCTGGGACTCGTCTCTTCACCCCTATTGGTAAGTCGTCTCCACACGACACTTGTGGATGGAGCTGTCCGTAGACCAGACGCAACAAATAGGCGCCAGGTAACGGGGCCGAACGACCTTTTGCCACAAACAAAAGGGTCTAGAGATGCTTAATTGGATCTGATGCAATCTTGAGCAATGCAATAGAAAGAGTACCATGTACACGGATGTCCGAACACACATCACCTGTGTGAGGGGTGACACGAATCCTGTGGTCGAGACTCGATCCACGGGACCTCATCACATACTCGAGTCCGCCGAAGCCGATCATCTCTTCGCGAGAGGTGAAAACCGCGTGAGTTTGGGGATGCTTTAGTTATGATTCTTATGTCGACAATCCCACAAACAAACGAAATTATCTGTCACTCCTAATCCTGTGCTATGACTTGGCCTAAGCAAAGTAACTGGTCAGACGCGCAGCGCGCGGGTAAATACTACTTCCAGGTTATCGAGTCGTTATCACACCAACCACCAGCACTGGCGATAAAATCGCAGCCATTAACAACTGGAATGCGGGCGACCAAGCCATCGTCGCTCCAAGCACGACCATATGCAATGGAAGCGTGAACTATAAATTTTATGAGGTTTGTGGCGGCATAGCAACCGTATTTTATGAATGCTGTAACCCCTGTGCGTCTGGTACTCCTTTATTCTGTTGCCTTTGGTGCTGCTGTTCAAGGGGACATTTAAAAGGCCTGTTAAAATATTTTTTTGTCCTTGCGATCCAGACTGACTTACTGCGTTGCGATGTGTTATGTAGTCCAAACTGATGGACAAAATGCTGTTGGGATTGGGGGTAGGGGCTAGGGTTGGGGACTATGGCTGGAGGTTAGGGGCTGGGGTTGGGGGTTAGGGTTAGGGGGTTGGAGTTAACGGGTAGGGTTAGGGAATTAGAACACCCATTTCTCAACCATTCAAAGTACGACCGCGCATTCCCAACAGCTTTTCTTTTGGTATACAACTACTTGACCTCGTCGCCTGCGCATCTCCTGGTCTTACTTGTAAAAGTCCCTTTTATCACCGGTCCCGTATTACAGGTGGTTGGGGTTTGTTTACTTTAGGCGGGGCTACGGAACTACATCTGACCGAGACCGCTTAATTCCTCGAACTCTCCTTTTCGCTTGTGTCCTAGTCAGTGCTGTATGAGTACGCAAGGACTGCTAACAGCTACTTAAGAAGCCGTGGATCTGTATGCGGTCTTTCAGTCCTGTTTCTTCGACCGTTTGGACATCGTTTGGGCAAG